ATAATATTTTACTTCAAGAATTGATTATCACCATATTTTGCCTATTTTAAGAAATAATTTCACTCTGTTGATTTTCTTTTTTTCTCATTACAGTTCATTTATTCAGTTTAGCCTGAATAATTGGCAAAGAAAATTTGAAAAGAGTAAAATACTTAAAAACAGTTCATTACAAAATTATCCCTTTCTCTGTCTCCCTCTCTAAATATATCTGAAAAGATGATACAAGAAATACTCCTTCTTTGATGACAAATAACGGTGGTGCAATATCATCTAAACTCTTGACAGATAGCTTTGGTTGGACAGAAGATGAAGTAAGCTTTGCAAATTACAGATTAGACAATAATAAAAAAGACTTTAATTTCTTTTTTCCTCTTTGAATAGGTCTGTGTACATCAAGATATATAAGAATTAAATCGTTTATTGTTTGAACAAATTGAAATTGCATTGAAAGATACACCAGAGATGAATTTAATAAATGACCTATTTCGAGGGATTCAGTCTACTCAGGTAATTTATTATAATTACATTTCTGTTATTTAGTAATTACAATCATTAGAAAATAACATGAATTGGCAGATTATATGTACTGTAGATCTTAATTTATCACTGTTAGAAAATTGTCCTGTAACGCAAAAAATGTTACACAAATGTCAACTGTCACACACTAACACTCTACAACTTCTTATTTGATTTCTCGACCCAGTTACTTAGTGAAGAAGATACACTGAGATGTGTGGAAGATGTACTCATGTAGAAGTGTTAAGGAAAATATATTGAAAATGTACAAATTCTTGTAAGCCTAGGTGACATTATTAAAGTGTCAATAAATGAAAACATAATGGATATTCGTAATTGATTATCGGTTGTCTATCAGTCTAGTTATATTTGTAATTAGTACAAAATCAAATTTTAACTAATCCATTTTTGGACTATTAGCTTGATTCACTTGTCAATATGAGGATGAGGATAACTGTAAGCTAATTTGTAAGTGAGCCTGAAATGTAGCCGCGTGACTGCTACTTATCAATCATATTAGCTATTCAGTAAGGATTTCTATTTGTAGTCGAAACCAACTTCAACCAATTTAAGCTCCACACCTTGAAGATAATAATAACATACTAGCCAAGATTTGAGAGTTTCTAGATATTCAGTGCCTAAATAGACTTTAAGTAAAGAAATTCAAGGAAAAAGGAGAGGTATTACATCTTGATGATGGTGCATCCATCACATCATCACCCTCCTACAAGTTTCAGAGAACAAGTTCGCTAACCAAACCCCCGAAACTTGACATTTCTAGGACTGATAGTTGTATTCGACTCCATCAACCAGCATATGTTGCAGTTGTATCTGATCATGAATGCAATGTAGCGTACAGCAAATATCCGGTGCTAGTCAAAGATATCCACCAACATTCACACAGCCATATACTAGCTTATTGAATGTTGCCATCTGAGGCACTAACAAGGAGTAGTGTCTATGGAACATTTCGATTGTCACAAACGCTATTTAGTTTTGTTATGGACGTCCTAATGCACATAATCCTATGAAGGTTTAACCTTTCGAATATTGACTGATTCACTGCGTAGAAGATATCTGGTTGACTTGACGTAGTCAGTTGGCATATTGGTGTTTGGGGAGATGATAAACAGAGTAGAGTTTTCTGAACAGCTTGAGGAGTGGTTTGCAGTGGCTGATGATTTGAGGGTAGGAAGTTGAGTGGTTGACTCTGTTGGCCACTACACTTGCTTGAAGAGTTGCCTGAGTCAGAGTTGGTAGGTTTCTGATAAAATCTCATTTCGCATCGGAAGTACATGTTTGGCGTTTTCTGTTGTATCTGATGTATTTTGCCCGAGAGGTACCCAAATTAACTAGTTGTATTAGCTAAAACTCCGCTCTATGCTGCTGTTGAGGTGTAAGACACTACCATTGACAGTAGAAGACGAGAAGTTACAGATTTCTAATCAAAGTTGTTTTCATAGCATTTCTCTTGTCTAGTGGATGCACTGTGAGAATAATGTTGAGAGTAGTAAGCAAGCAAGCTAATTCAGTCAATGGGGCTGTGAATCTTTACTGTTTGAGTTTATTTGGTTCTTTTTTGCAACCGCTGACACACCTTCTACCTTCACGTTCTATGTTAGCTAAATCATGAACAGGCTGAAAGAAGGTTGAGGATGAGCAAACCAAGATAATATGATCAACCCATGAAGTTTTTGTTGGCTTAAGCTGTGCAGTGAGGTGTAGGCTGCCTAAACCTGAAAAATTTGGTAATCTTTAATTATTTATTCCAGTTGCTTGCTTGTGGTTTGTCTACTTTAATATCATTCTTTACTAACACTTTCTATTCACCTGCTGGTTCACGGTGTAGCATCTTTTACTGATGCTCTTCGCGTATGTTTCCACTTCGTTTTTCCTAACTTTTTTCTGAACACATGAATTACAATTTGTATCTTGATTGGCAATATGCATCTGCTGTCCATTTTGTAATTGAAAATGTCTGAAGTATTATCCCTATCAATTGTTAATGTATTGGTCTACTTAAGTGAGTCCTAAGGTTCTCAGTGATTATTCTCGAAACTGAGTTACCCAGCCTCAATTCATATTACAGGTTAACTAAACAGGGTGGTGGGTGATTACTTAATATACATAATTCACTTCTAGATTGCGTCAGGTATGTCTTTAACAGTTGGGTTGTAAAGTATTTGACGTTAGCTAGGAGTAGTGTAATTTGAAGTTTCTGGGAGAACATGATTTTTCGCAAGACTGTGATAAGTATCATCATATCAGAAACTCATATCAAGTAGGTGGCCTACCGACAGACTTTCATTATTTGAGACCGAACCCATCATATCAGTCGCTTTATTGGCCGTATTATGAATACGATTCATACTGAAATCTCAGAAGCTAATTAGGCTACCTTTTTATGTTATTATCTGTGGCCCAGAGGATAACTCTTTGGCATTTGAAGTGATCAGTTCTGGGTTGGATTCTTAGTAAGAATAACATCAACCACTGAGACCCAGGTATATGCAACTGACGAGTCTCAAATAGGACGAAATGCGTGTCCACTGCTAGCCATTATGCATCGTCACTTAGGTTACCACCTAACAATAAACCTCAGTGAGTTATTCATCTTTATTCTAGTTAAAAGGTTTATCCCTTCTTAATTCCTGATATTTACTTCATTTCTTCCATACAGATTCAGTGTTTAAAATGTGGTCGAATTAGTGAACGGAATGTAGATAAGTTTTCAATGAACAGAAAAATTTTAATGCAATAACCTTCTTCTTTCTTCCTCATCTTCCTACTCCTTCTTTTCTTGTTGCTTTGTATTCTCTCCATCTCCCTCTCTCTCTCCATCTTCTTCCTCTCTCAACAATAAAAAACATGTCAAACATATTAGGATAAATTTCAAGACATTAATCTATCTATGATGGATAATGATTCTGTTGAAGATTCATTCATACTCGAATGGAACAGTTAGCTGGTGATAATCAATACTTTTGTGATGGATGTTAAACCAAAGTTGATGCAATCAAGGTAGGTAATGAGAAGAATTTATTTTGTACTTTCAGTCTTTATTTTTCATTTTTAAAATTAATACTTTTAACGAAGTAATACACAGAAATGATTAGGAATAAATGGTGATTGAACATTTATTTTATTGTAGTTTAAAACTACTCTTCAATACATAATTTTATATCATTAGATGAATAAAACTAAGGTTTTTAGGTCAGATATAAAGCATATTATGGCTAATTAACTGTCTTGTAATTCATACAATAATAAGGAACCTTTCACGTAAATGCATCAGTGCAATCTGCTATAAACCTTAGGAGAATAGAAAAAAACAGAGATTGGTAGAAATAGAAAGATGTTGAAAACAGGAATGCCGTAAATATGTGATACTACTTGCCACTGTAAACGATGTTACCTACATTCCTCAGTACCTGGTGCTTACCACCTTGAGGACATCAGACAACTCATCACTTTTAAAGGTTCTTATTATGAAAATGATCCTATTAGATAATAGAAAATTAGTAAAAGATAACTCATCGAAAAAATTTTCTTTCTGACGAATCATTTCAAAAGTTGTACAATTGTAATCATACTGTGAAACAAAATATATGTGTCCATCAGTGGTAAATGGGCCGATTCAAGATCATCAGAATTAAATCAATATAGTCAAAAGGTGGATTTGGTTGGAAGGTCAGATCAAGGTCATCAAAAGAAATGAATAAACTATCTTAGGGAAGTTACGATCAAGGCAAAATAAGAGATTCAATATATCTGTTTGAACACAAATCAATGTTTCATAGATGGATTGTCAAAGACTTTGCAATGGAGTCACTTCGAGAGGTAGATCAAGTTAGAAGCTTTCACAGAGGTGTTTACTTCAAGTTGCCTCTAAATGCTTGATGTTTCTCTTCAGAAACATACAAATAAGCTATACTATATATACATATATGTTGTAAGGTAGTTAGTTTCAGAAGCATTTGAGGTTTTAAGATTATATCCTGTTTCCTTCAAGTGCTGACGAATAGAGATTGACAGGTTCATATAGTTTGTCATCCATCTAGGATGACATAACTCGTCTTAACTCATAACCCATCTTTGTGTTATTGTCTTACCAGTGTACATTCTCCAGTAGTTGAATGTAAGTTCATACATAGAGTTGAACGTGACATGAACTACTGTTAAAATAGCGTTATATAACTAGTTTTCGGAGCGATTCATGCATTAAGTCAACTAAATCATTATCTGATTTTTACCATTAAAAAAAATTTACGACTTAACACGAAGACAATGAACAGTTATAGAAGAATAAGCTAATTCCTATGATAAACTTGACTAAACTTTGAAACGACAGTAACAACAACTCTATGATCCCATGATATATTGAAAGCATTTCCTAATCTTTTTTTTAACAGATGACACGGTTCGAAGAATTACCACCAATCCTAACACTTTCTTTATCAAGATTCTATTTCGACTAGGAAATAATGCAACCGGTTAAATTACAAAAAATATGTAGTTTTCCATTCATTTTGGATATGACTAATTTTCTAAGTCGTAAACCAAAACAGGTACCGTTTTCTTGTACAATATAATATTACATATATATATATGTATATGTATATATATATATATATATATATATATATATATATATATAATAACATAGTAATAATAATGATTATTACTTGTCCCTTGGGTTCCTAGTGGAACATAGGGCTTCAGTAGCACACCTCCATTCCACACTGCACTCTCTCTGCAATATTTCGAACCTAGTACCACGACTGCTCACAAGCTCTCATTTCTTTCTCAGACCATCTCCTCAATGTCATCCTCGCCTAGGATGCCCAACTCACCGTTTCCCATCTGGGTTCGTCCCAAGGACTGGCCTGAAGCGTGATGTCCCCAAATAGTCTTCTCAGTGCATGCCCAATCCATCTCCACTTCCTTCCACTGCATATTTGTTGAGCGATAGGTTCTTGCTTCATTGGTTCGTTGCCAGCCAACCAGAGTTGCTTGTTGCTTATTCTTATTATTCTGGCCATCTGATCTTCAGTAACGAGTCAGAGTAGGCAGTTGTTGATGTATGATGTCTGTAGTTTGTTGGAAATGCTTTTCGTAACGCGTCGCCAAGTCTCTCGACCATCACATAGAAGCACTGACTTACTTGACTGATGTTAGTGTTGAAAATCCGGATCTTGTTGTTTATGGTGTGTGCAGTAGATCTCCACACTGGTTTCAGGTTAATGAACACCTATCTTGCGCCTCTGATCCTGGCTTTGACGTCCTCGTCTGTACCACCAGCTGTAGTTGAAACGATGTTGCCTTGTTTAGTTGGGTGAAAGAGGCTACTTTCTGTAAGTTTCTCCCGTTGATGGTGATTGAAGCTTGTTGTTGTTGGTGGCGTTGGTTGCATATCATCATTACCTCTATCTTCTCTATGTTCACTTGAAGGAAGTCTCGTCTTCGCTGCCTCTTCTGTCAACAATAATAACTTGTGTAAAAAAACAAATTATCCCAGTAACCAAGAACACTTTGGTTTACCAAATTGGGTTATACTTAATATCTACAAACTGATGATGGTGTACTCGTTTGTTGTCCAAAACACGCTAAGCTGAGGAGAACTGGAATCCGTGAACTAATAGTTTAAATTCTTTTTTCTGTTTCACCTAAAACAATAATATAACTCTGAAGTGCATATATGGACGGGCAGTGTGAAAATAATTTACAAACTTTACTAACATTTCTTAAAGTTGATTAGTTTTTTTTTAACTAACCAAATTGTCCTGTTAACAGTGTTTCTTGATCATTATGACCATCTAAGATAACCATAGTTTGACAAACCTGCATTACTGAAACTGGGTGACGACTGAAGCTGAAATGAATATTTTGCTAATACTCAGATTTTCATTTCACCTTCATTCATTACCCAGTATCAAAGTTAGACCTGAGAAACAGAAATGTCATTAAAGAATGAAATATACAAATCAAAATCAAAATTATTATTCATATTTATCAGCTGTGTTATCATAATGATGCATATATCACGATTACTTCTTAAATTTGTAATTGGTAATTCAAATGAAAAGTACATCAGCATTCTTGAATACACTATAAACGTATAGCATAGTGACTGGAATGTAGCCTAACATAGGCCAGTGAGGAGGCCAACTGAAACTATCCGAATCAAGTTAAAGTATACTTACACCAACTATAACTTGTCTACGATACAGCCTGAACCTGAATAAGACGTGAGTGTTGGTCCTTCAACTCTCCTTCAAGTTGCCAATGACTGTTCCAAATCTAAAAAGAAGCGGAGCAGCTGGATCTAACGATTTGTCACCTAAAATACTTTCAAGGTTGAAGGTATGAGGTTACTGAGCAAAGTAACCAAAGTGCTGCGTAGTTTGTGGGAATCAGAGGTAATCCCGTTGGTCTGATCTGCTTTACTTATCATTTCAGTCAATAAGAGAGGAAAGAAGTCTTCTTTTGACAACCATGGGGGACCTAGTTTGACTAATATCCTGTTTAAGATGCTATGCTGTGTAGTTATCCAATGCCCAGCTGGAGGTCGAGAACAAAATCCTCAAGAAGACCAGGTAGATTTCAAACCTTAAAGGGGGTGTATCGATCGTATATTCTCCCTTCGACAGGTCCTGGAACACAGGCTTACCTACCAGCCAGTGGCAGACAATTGTCATACATGTTGACCTGAATGCGGTATTCGAATGACTTTTTCTACCTTGACGTGTTGTAGCGGCGTCTTACTGTGAAAGGAGTACCGTGAAAGCATATAACACCGATCAAAGCTCTCTCCTCGAACTCGCACAGCAACGCCAAGGCTCATGGAGAGTTGTTACGTGAACTGACGATAACTGGTGGTGTTCTCCAGGTATACCCATTGCCACTGTTCCTATTTAATTTAGTCTTAGTCGCAAGAATGAGCATAAGCTTAAGTACATGTGACTTCCCTGAAATTGACCTACTTCTTGCAAACCATGTGGTTGGTTCGAAGCATACAGACGACCTTGTCCTGTCAGAGGAAGATAATGAGAAAACCCCAGGTCACCTGAACACTTTGAGAAGAATTACGAGTATGTTTGGCATGCTCTAGGACTGGTCTGCCACTACGCGCAGTTTAATGTTAGGAAGTTGAGTAGTGAAATGTTTCGACTACTTTGCTTACTTGAGGATCTACATCACCTCGAACGGGCTGATCGGTGACACAGTCTCAGCTGGGACAGAGAGAGCCCGTCTGGCATTTGCCAACTTGCGTCATCTTTGGCATGGGCCAGTGAGATACCGACTACCTATCAAAGAACTATCCTGCACCATCAGAGACTAACTGATCCCGTTTTCGAAATTCAACTGCGTGAAACATTAAGTGTCGATGAAAATAAAACTAGGTAAGTTATCAGCGTAGCTCACTAGTCTGGTGCACAGTACTCAGGTTTTTTGAAGCAATGAATTAGTAATTTTTTCCTCAGTGAGAACACCATCAGTGACCAAGATACAGATTCATTTAGCTGACGAATTTCGCGTAGAATGGAAAGTAAGTTTCAGATTACATTACTAGCCTTTATGATGCATAACTAATGTGACAATTATATATTGCCAACAGACTAGGTTTACCCGGTCCACTGATTCATGTTTACCTGTTCTTAATGAACCCTGAATACTTTTATTTTGTTTCATTTTTATTTTAGAAAGTAGAATATGAACTATTCTCAGCTGTAATCCACGTTGGTGGGAGTACGAGTGGTGGGCATTATCATGTATTCATCAAGGATCTTTATGGTACTATATGCAGTCAGTCTGCAAATGATCTTAATGCGGTGAGATAAAAATGACTCTTCATTGATAATATATAATAGAGAAAACACAACTAACGCTAATAAGTTCTAATTTATGTAGACAAATATTTATTCTATTTTTCAGATGTTGTTAAATATTACCAAGGTTTCGGAATTAGACTCCATGCATTGTATCAATAAAACAAAAAGTTGGTGATATGCTTCAGCTTGACAACTGAACATTTACCTAACAAGCTAGAAATCATTATCAGTGAAATTTTGTAAAGACTCTTGCATCATTGTAAAGTTTAACATTCAAGTTCTGTGTCTATCAATGTAGTCTGTCAAAGGAGTCAAACAGAATCACTTACGTTATCGAAGAACAAATCAAAGTTGGTTGATACTAGTCAGATAAGGAATTTATAAAAAAGCTCGGTCATAGCTATGCATACAATTGCATACAACCATGTAAGAGGATGTGACAGAGTGAAAATCCTTAGAACTGACATAGTGAGGTGGAAACAGATGTTGATTACCGTATCTTTGCTTATCCAATTAACACTTAATACAGGCAACAGGAATGACTGAACGCCTGGTCCAGATCTACGAAAAATCTTTGTCATAATAAGTGGCTTAAGCATGCAAGTGGTCTGACTGGCTCGCACTGTGTCACAGCACTGCATACGTATGGCATGGTATGTTGTACTGTATTACAATGCTTTCTTATTATTCTTAGGTTCGATAAATAATAGACATCAATTTAGACTGTGATCAGTCAGTATGGCATCCATTGTTCTAATGTATTCAGATTGGTTGACTAGATAGTGACTATGAATGGTATTAAAATGTCTCTAGAGGATGTTTCGATATTACGACGGATATTTCAGTTAATTTATTAGATGTATCACACAATGGAACAGTATTATTTACTGGATTACATTTCGAACACAGTTTATTGTTCATAGACATATAAAGATAGCTCCACAGCTTTGAGACAGTTAACATAGCTCTAATCTTATCGACTCCTTTGTACCACTCGAGCGAATACGCACTTTTCTTTAACGTAAGTGGATTAGTAATAAGTTGGTTGTTGGGATGTATTCTAGCTGACCTTCTCGTGTCCAAGTTGAAAAACAGAAGTCCTAAGGAGTACATACACCCCTATGATATGTACTACCGTTATATAGACGATACTACTATTTTGGTGTAGTAAGAACGTTAGGTTAGATGACCTAATCCAGAATATTGAAAGAGTGCATCCAAGGTCAAGTTTTGTATGGGAAGTTGAAAATTCCAAAAAAAATCCCTTCATGGATTTCCTTCTTATCATGTTCGATAAATAATTTGTAACATATTTGTTAGAAGCGAATACTGAAAATCATCTTCAAGAGCAAAAGTACACATATTTCAAAAGTTTCAATCCCTTGTTGTAGAAAAGAAGTTTGATTAGATGTTTGGCAGACAGAAATAGTTCAATGCATCCAGTTAATACAACCGAAGTGCAGCTAAAAAGCTGCACGGATATCAGGAATAATTCATTAGGAAGATAATGGTAGCAAAAACGAATACAGGAGTGACTTCCACTAGTGAGAAGGTATTTCTAAGCCTGAAATCCTCACTAATAGACTAAGACGATCTCTGACACTTTCCCAACACTACGAGTAAGGCTAACTTTTATTGCTGAATATCTTTTGTCACCATGATTGAAAAACTGACTTCATATCTCCACTTCAATGGGCATTCATAAATTCATTTACTTCTGTCGAGTAAGATGCTTGTCACAAAAAGTTAGTGAACACTTACCTGTGTGTCTGACAAAACAAGAAAAAAAAACTGTTGCTAGTTCCATACAGACATGTCTAGTCGGAACCAGTCATTTAGTCTGCAAAACAACGATTGTCTGAGGGGTTTGCAAGGTACCAAACTGTGTATCAGAGTCTTAAAAATTCATCTTCTGCAGTCTACTGAATCTGTTACTGCTAAAATACTGGATAGAATTTTGTTTCCTGCAGAAACTTTCACGTTACAGTGTTTTTCTATGACCCCTCAGGTAACTGGATTTCATGTAACTCAAGAAAAAGAAGAATACTACCTTAAAAATAAAAATAAAATGCGCATTAACCTAAAAATGAATTGCTGTATAGTGCTCATTGGTGAAACCTATCAAGATGGATATTCTGAAGTTCTAATTAGAAACCGTGACCTGTAGGGTTAGCCAGTCGGTAGTAAAATGGATGTCAACTGAACAACTTGGTGGATAGTCGTACTGTATCACGAACTGACAGGAGTACGAAACTGTAATAGATGAAATACGACCCGGTGACCGGATGATCAGTGAGTCTGTCGTGAGATCTGAAGGTCCTGAATTCGGTCTCCAGCCGGCTTATAGGTGCGTACTGCTGCAGCGTCACATAATAAGACGAAAGAGATGCCCAGTGCCCCCAGGTTTTTAATGGTTCCCCAAATGATAGTCTATGATGAATAATAGCTTTGAAATAAAATCTCCACTGACCTCAAACTGCTTCAAAATAAGTGCCACCCAAAAATTCTTTAACCACTTGATGCGTGTATTTTTTTTCATGCTAGAAATTATGGTATTTAAAGGTTGAGTCTGATAAAACCTTTTAAAACAAAAAACAAAAGTAGTTGCTCGAATGTTTTCGTGTTTTCAATGATGCAGTCAGTGTCTTGCGTGTTCACTATTACAACTTTGCACTCAAAGATTTGATTACATAAAGTATTAGGCAAGACAGACAAGTAGACTGATGAGATTGTAGACCTTAGTCGATTGAGATGACTTCAACAAGCGCTGTGCATGCCAAGCTACCTCAGCGTGGCATACTACAGGAAGCTGGATTAGGTTGGAAGAGCATTCAGCGTGGCCAGACAAAGACGTAGCACCAGCCAGAGAAGTCCCTTACAGTCTTGATGAGTCGTGTAGAGGGAAATGTAGAATGCCTGACTAGGGTCTTCAAGACAAAAGGAATCAGTGGTTGAGGTCTCTTGATAATATGGTTGGAAATCAGTCTCAGTGATGTAGATGTATTCACTCCTTCACATCATCTAAAGCTTGAATATTTACACTAACCTTCATCTTCGGATTGTTTCTTGTTTCATACAACTTTGTCTAGTTTAATATCACTCTTCTTCGACCCACCCGTTCTTTTTATTCTACTGTGAAGTGTGAAAAGTTGGGCCAATGCACCTGCGTGTGAGGTTCTGTGTTAATTTTGACTGTAGGTCTTACTTAGACCGCTTTGAAGTAAATATGAAGATGACCAAGTTTCTGGTTAAAACTCTTCACTTGTCTCAACAAAAAATCGACAAAATCCCAACCGTAAGTTAACTTTTTTGTTTTATCACATAAATACTAAATAAGATTGACTATAAAGACCAGCTGACTAACTGGTCGGATAGGCTATTCAACTACTCGAATTCGACTAGAAAAATAATTTTTCATAAAATAAAGAACCGAACTGGTAATTTAAGTAGTTCTAAGACTAGCTGATAGAGTAAGTCATTCAATTATTTATTTATACTCATTTTCAAACTCTTAACTGATGATAAAGGTGAAGGCAAACGACGAAAGGTGAGTCTCAAAAGGGATATTCATTACGACAACTTGCACGGTACTGAAATATAAATTTGCACATTATGTTTAAGTTCCTCTTCTCCTATCTCATCTTGCTATTGCTATGGCCACATCATTGTTTACGCTTCTCTAGGGCAGAATATTTATCCATTGCTCCTAATTGCTTACGACTTCTTCTAACCTCTTAAAATATACTAATTATATGCTTTCTTATCAGTAGCACCCACTACAAAGGTACCTACTACACCTATAAACATCTTTACTACTCCTAAAGACTTAAACCCAGTTAACAGGAACAACAAAAATTGAAAGTTAACTTCAGGAATAGATGTACACCACTGAAATTCGTTCACCGGACTAGCAGTATTCTCTAGTCTCTGGAATGATTAGGAAATGTTGCCAATATTCATAACAAGCCAAGTAGTGGATTAGTCCTACGAGGCGTATGGGAAGATTTACACGGTCCTCAATAAAAGGATCATAAAATATTCATAGTTCTGGGTATTTGTTCGGTACTTGTAGTCTTCCGTTGTTATGCAGGGTGTAACTGGTCAACCTCTGTTGGCAGATGGACTGATACGTAGATGCCTCCTACTGCTGAATATTCATGATGTATCCATCTTGGTGACTAGTAGTGGAATCCAGGATGTAGGTACTTTATTTGTTTGAGACTCGCCAGCTGCATTTATCCGTACCCTTGTAGATGATGTAGTCCTACTGAGACTCGAACACAGCAACTATCGCTTCAAACACCAAAGTAATTCCGCCCTGTATAGCAACAGGTGATTGCAAGAACCGAGCAAAAACTGATACTCACTACACAGGATATGGCTGTCGTGCTCAAGTGGCCTAGTGGATAACACTGCTGTTTGGAGAAATGACTGATAGGTTTAAGTTTCAGTGCGGACGACATCACTCACTGGGTTGCAGTTACATCCAGCTGATGAGTCTTGCCCATTCTGGTTTTCAGTTCTATTCCCCAAAATGAAAATAGTTCTGAGTTGTTTATTTTCGTAGAGAATTTTCAATATATTTCCAATACTTACATAAGCATTGATATTTACTACTATGATTCATATCATCACATTTTGTATTTTTGTATTTAACTAACAGAATCATAAACATCACAATCCGCTTGATTCCACATTAACAGCTACATACAGAATTAAATTAGACAGTAAAAATCCTGGAAAAAAGCCATTCATAACCCATGATCATTTCGCTTTAAATAACCATCTATTTGCTTATATAGATAATAATACTAACGTCAGTGATGCTGATATGAATCTGAATAAAGATAAAAATCAACTGGTGATTGGTGACGATGACAAGAATGTTGACAGTGATGTGGACGATAAGAACGACAAGGAAGATGAAAAAATGAATGATGAAGGCAAAGTTAACGATACTGAAAATTCATTGGATAAACAATATCTACAAACAAATCTCCATGATTCTCTTGAGTCCTTACAATCAATTCATTTAAACGAAAAATCTTCACTATCTGAAATTAGTTTATCAATTAATAAAAAGGTAATAAATAAACAAGTGGAATTAAATGATAAAAATTGCGCGCACAATTTAAAATTTGATTCAACCGGTAGATGATGTATTTAAACAAACTTTGGAGGGCAAACAAAAGTTATCAATAAACACTTTTGATCACAATGGTATTACTACTTTTAATGAAGAAAATGAGAAATTGTGCAAAGATATATTCCATCGAAAAATTAATAAAAAGGAGATGGAACAAAATTATTTAAAGAATTTGTATAAGAATGAAAATGACTTCAAATATTTACAAATTAGGTAAGTTTAAAACGATTCTATTTTCAAACATCTTAAGATTCCCATAATATTAATAAAAAGCAACAATCTGAACAAAGAATATTCCTGTAGAATCCATTTGCATAGAGTAAAATCAAGAAAAATAAGTGGCAAATAAATTTTCAAAATGGAGTGAGATTTAAGGGCTATGAAGAGATTGATTTTTCGTTATAAAATTTGTGAATATTGGGATTATATATATTTAGATGAATTATGTGATGGCGAACGAAAAGACAACAAACAGGAGTGTCTTTGAGTTTATACAAAGGAGCAATAAAGCTTGAAAATGATCTTTCTGTATGAGTAGTTCAAGTTTAATCAGTTTTATTGCGATAGCATCAGTTATATTTAGCAGATTTTGGTGAGCCACATGTGGTATTGTTTTTAGAATACGATGAACGATGCCCTATGTCTGCTAGGTGTGCTAGGACCGAACTTTTCATCACTTCACTCCGTTCTTTCTAAATCAAGCTGGTAAATGCTCCCATATCCGGAGATGCATGTACTTAATCATGCATCCTATGTAACTAGTTCTATAGGAAGGCTAGCTTTTAGTCTCAGATTAAGCATTGACTGACTACTGAAATATATACAAATCTGACCCACATAAAACATCCTATTAAGTGCTTTAGCTAGGCACTTCGACTGAATTTCAATTGCAGCGCCTCCCCTGAAACGAAGGCTTCTTCTTCACTGTCACCAGATCTCATTTAGGATCAATGTAATTAATGTTTACTTTGATGAACTTATCTGAATATCCATTTTCGCTTAGAGCATCATGGGTACACAGTAGTTCTTTTTGTACACACTCCTTGGAACATATATACCTTACTCTAAATGCTAGACTTCTGATTATATTACCTTTGTACTTCATTAGTAGGAGGCCGAAAAAGTGTATACAGTAGCTTCAACATCAGTTTTCTATATATACTTCTTAGCACAGAGACATATTTTCTTGTCATATATATGTATCAAATCATTGATTTCATTTTCCTATGTAAAATAAATTGATGGGTGAACGCAGTTGAAACCGTTCAGAATAGAACTAATATATACGCCCTTATTAAAGACTAGAAAAGTATCATCTATGTACTGACAATACAACTTCATATTGGCAGTCTGAGTTTTCATAGGACCATTTTCTAATTTCGCCTAAAATATGTCTGCAGATATTAGGCTTAATAGAGATCCTATAAGCACTCCGTCAACTTCTCTGTAAAGATTACTAGTGACGATGAATTTGACATTCATTGTGCATCTTAGTAATAGTTCCTTCAAATTTGTTACATAATGTTTTGTTATGATGAACTTACTGACTATTGGTCTGAGTCATGAATGAATATGTTAACTTTTTTTAACCAACACTTTCCGATAACTTCCTCTTTAGGCTCTATATTTTTATATTCATATTATTCAGATATAAGAATGCATACATGGTAACATAATACATAAATAAGTAGTGCCATAGCAGTCATACCTGACATAAGAAATTCAATGTACGATACTACTGCGAATGCCTAGTTACTGTTTTCAAACTTTTACAAAAGTATATAATAGGACATACTATTAAGAGCCTGTTTAAATTCATAGATTGACTGGAAGATGGTTAAAACATTGGAAAAAGCAATGATCATGGTTGTACTGCGTTCTCTGAGCTAGGTTGTTTAATCGTGAAGCTTTCATCACCTTGCTAGACGACATCATCAGCACTAACTTCAGTATGAAGTGAGCTGTCAATATCTCTCCGTGAGTGACTTAGTAGCTTGCTCTGACGATATGGTCTGTGACTGGTCGTTTTCTTCGATTGTTGTGCCATTGATTGTATAGACATTCCTGTTGGCTGTCCCTCTGCTTCATCTTTGACCTTTCTGTCGTTTATCATCTCTCTTATTGGTTGATAGATTGGGTCTTTGTCTATACATCTATTGATTGCTGACTGACCTGAATGCCAAGCTTCCAGAAATTCTCTGAAATTCTTTGTGTTTCCTCTGTCCAAAATCTCTATATCGTCGAAAGTGAATCATGTCCATAGTTGTTATCCACATGCATTGAAATGAAGGACGAAATGTCGTGCTGCTTAATAGCCAATTGGTGTTCATGTAGAAGAAGGCGAAGAGGGCGGCCGATTTGACTGATGTAGTATTGACTACAGTTATTGCAGTTGATTTTGTAAATGATATTTGGTTTGTCTTCTCTGGTTGTCACATCCTTTGGTCTGCATTATAGTGTTTGGAGGGAATTTTTCAGTTTATGAGCCACAACAATTCCCAGTAGTCTCAGAAATCTTGTCGTGATTTCTGATACATTCTTTGCGTATGGTAGGGTGATGCGTTTTTTGATTTCTGTCGATGACTTTGTAGTTGTTGATGCACGGGACAGGCATCTTCTGATAAAGTTTCGTGGATAGCAGTTCTTCTTTAGGGTGGACATCAAGAAAGAGCCAAACAACCAACTACCATTCCCGGATGTTTTAGTCAGTAGGACAAAAACGGGGAAGCTGGAAACCCAAGTATAAAGGAAGACAACACACACTGACCAAATCTTCAACTACAATGGCAACAACCCAACAACACACAAAATCAGTTGCGTATAGACTCTATTCAAAAGAGCGAGAACACACTGCAGCACAACAACCTCACGGAGAGACGAAGAAAATTACTTGATGTCCACCCTAAAGAAGAACGGCTACCCAGGAAACTTTGTGAATTACGTTAATCCATTTTATGAAAGACTATCTACTCAACTAAAATACCGAAACGTGATCGGTTACTTCAGATGGCTGGTAAAGTCGTTTCAGATTTCTTAAGAATACATAGGCCTTATTTGTTACTTCCGTTGTTATAGCGAGCTTTCAAGACACTCGGGATGTTTCTACATTCACTCAGATCTACATGATGATACTTTCATGGAGTGGCTTTAAAGACCACATTACCAACTGATGAAATAATCAGTCAAGTTCTATTATTTTAGCTAAAAGGTAACTGATTATCTCATCAGTTGATGAGTTTCCCTTAAAAGTCGCTCTTTTTCCTTCTAATTCTAGAGTGATTTTAAAGATCAACCTTGCAACCGCTGTGATAACTAATCAGGCCTCGGTATTCTAGCTAGAAAGGTAGTTTTTCACTAAATATAGAAGCCTGGTTAGTTTTCTCAGTAGTTGTCATGTGACCTCTAAATTAGTCCACGAATTAGGAAGACTTTAAAGGCTACCCAAGCAACTACTAAAATAACCAGTTACGGTTCTTTATTTTATTGGAAACTGACATTGCTACCGGAACACAGAAACCTAATTAGTTATTTCGATTGTTGGTAAGGTGACCTTTTAGTTGATCGTAAAGACCTCCAATACTAAAGGTCACCCCAGCAACAATCGAAATAACCAATTAAACTTTTCTATTTTATGAAAATCTGCTTTTCAAGGCGAAATGAAGAAACCTAATTGGCTATTCCGATTGTTGTCTATGCAAGAACTTGTGAGGAATCATGCTCCACACTTGTCCACCACAAACAAAATATTAACCCGCATCATCCTGGAGAGACTAAAACATGCACTCGATTACAAGCTACGACCGAAACACGCTGGCTGAATTCAAGAAGAACAATTCCTGTATGCATCAAATTGCAATGCTACGATACGCTACGCTTCATCATAGAACAGAGTATAGAATGGCAGTTAACCCTGTACCTAAACTCAACTTCGTCCACTTTGAAAAGGCCTTCGACAGTGTCAACTGAGAAGTATTTTGGCAGCCGATTCAACACTATGGAATATCATAAACCCTTATCAATCTCATTCAACAGCTACACGCTAAATGTTGTCACATACCAAGTGATTGACAATGGAAATCTCAGTGACACCTTTGAAGTGAAGACAGGGGACAGAAGTAAGACAAGGCTACCTACTATCACCGATCATCTTGCAGGTTGGGATGGAGTGGATCATGCAGCAAACAGTGAGGAGTGAGAAGATGGGTATACGCTAGCTGGACAGAATCTAGGAGATTTGGATTTCGCCGATGATGACTTATGTCTAATATCTTGTCGCACAAACTCGAAGGCGAAAACTAGCAAGTTGACAGGAGAGTCAAGGCAGCGAAGATGGGACTTCAAGTGAACATAGAGAAGATAGAGATGATGGAGATATTCAACCAACAACAAACACCAGTCACCATCGTTGGGGGAAATCTGAAGAAAGTTGTTTCTTTCACCTACCTAAGCAGCATCGTCTCAACTACATGCGCGGCACAGATGAAGATGTCAAAGCCAGGATCGGTAGAACGGCAAGACATGCCTTCATTAATCTTAAATAATCAGTGTGGAGATCTACTGCACTCCGAGCAAAGAACAAGATCCGGATTTTCAACACTAATGTCAAGTAAGTCAGTGCTTCTATGTGGTTCAGAAACTTGGCGCGTAACGAAAAGCATTTCCAATAAACTACAGACATCATACACCAACAACTGCGCACTCTGACTCGTTACTGAAGATCAGATGGCCAGAATAATAAGAATACACAACAAGGAACGGTGGGAACGAACCAACCAAGTAGGTGTGACCCAGCAAATCTGCAGAAGAAAGTGGAGATGGATTAGATATACACTGAGAAGGTCGACTGTGGACATCACTTGCCAGGCCAGTCCCTGGAGTTGAAGCCAGATGGGAAACGACGAGTTTGGCGTTTGAGCCGAGGGCAATATGGAAGAGATGGTATGAGGAATAAATGAAAGCTTGTGGGCAGTCGTGGCGCCAGGTTGGAAAGACTTCAGAGAGTTGAATGAAGCGTGCTACTGAAGTCCTATGTCCCACTAGGAACCGGAGGGAAAAATAATAATAGAATAATAATTTGTGCAATACATTTTGAACATTCCAATCACACATATACAGACTAGATTGGGTGAATATATGTATCTAAATGGCTTGAAAAACAGTTTAATACACAAACTTTGATAAGTATAGGTGACAGATATTCATCTTCATCTATAGCAGAAAACATCATTGAAATGAATCATAAGGTTTATATGAAAACAGCATTCAAGATATTATCTAGGAATAGTCAGGGGCGAATACTGAAAGTTTCCGAAGTGTTAGCCATTCGTAAACTCAAGCCACCGTTATGTGTACAAAAACAATTTGTTATTTCACTTAATTTGCCTTGGTAATCTGATTATATTACTAAGACTAGTGTCATAACCTTCTAACATTCATTATATTTTGACTTTTCATTTTCATATATAAATTGACTTGATAAGTAAATGTGTGATCTAATTGTTCGAAATGTATTGCGTAGATACATTACACATTGTTCAGATAATCTTTGTCTTCTAATAATGTTATCCAAATTTAAGTTCTGTGCTTCGCATGTTGTGAATGTCCACCGACATTTAGTTGTACTTTCTTTGTCTTTTTGTCTTTCTGTTTATTGCCTTGTATCTTGATGTGGCGATGCAGGTTGTAACAGTGTCAACTGTCACACGCACACAGTAATATGAGATTCCAGATTGATTAATTTGTTTGAATAATTAATCCGTACATATCTCATAATCATAAAACAGTACCGTTAAGACTGAAATAAATCATTGTTGATAAGTGTCTTTTTTTTATAGGTGGAGCTTCGGCTCGATGGTTTAGGGAGGTCCTATTTTATCAAGCAAATAATACTATTTCACTGTTTGGTTTAGGGAGATGACTTTCAACCATTGGGTTGGAGATTTGGTTTAGGCGGACAGCCATCACACAATAAGTATGGCTCATTGCCTATTCCACGAACGTGAACAAGGTTGTTAAATATGTTTCTTTTCTTTTTACTTCCTTCTTCATAGTGTTACATGTTGGGAGAAAACCGACAGAAAGTAGTAGACCCAGGTCTGATGCTTGTTAACAAGGTATATCTGCAACAGTAATGACACAGTGTAAACAGTAAATTAGTTGGTGTTACTGAAATGTTTAGTTCCTAGGTTAATTGTATTCTATGTCTGTCCTTTTCACACCTTGAGAGAGATATTTTTCAGGTGGTCATTCACCATTAGTCATTCTTATTAAACAGAAAAACTTCCCTTTGAAATATTGAACGAAAACAGGTTGCAAAAGTGTTTGTCATTGAGAAAATTAGATCCTGATTTCTGGATCCTTGCCAATATACCTAATTTTTTCAATAAAACAGTATAAGAATAGGTACTCTGATAGTGAATGATCGGTTGATGTAAAGTTGATATATTTTTCTAAGTTGGTTTCTTCATCATGGACTGACTTCACTTGCAGAACTATTGAAAACCTTGAAGTACTGGAATACCGTTACATCAGCAGTGTGCACTCATGACATAACCAGAGGTCGAACTCAGTACCTTCTGGTCCCGCTGCAAGTGCGCTACCATTGATTCATTAGATCGGAGTCCACTGATCTACATATTTCTACTTCTATCAATTCACAGTCTTGATCCAAAGCTATCGTTGTTTTACTATCCTCACGTCCAACTTGCTTTCCTTCACCAATTAAAGCCAATCCGTGTAGAATACCAACGTGTAAGCAAGAAATCTCCACAAACCTCCAAAATTGAATAATGTTTGTTTGTTAGTAATTTCTCCTTTTACAATCACTTAATCAAAATGGTTAGGTAATTTTGAAAACCGTATCATATTTTATCAATTAGATGTTGGTAGAATTTGTTTTTCTTACTTGTTCCTTTCATTTTCGTTTCAATATTCAATCGTTCAAGTAACCTTGACCAATCATCTTTTAAATCAGTTCATGAAGAAATTTCAAATAATGCAATAGGATCAAATTTATTTGATCGATTAAAACCTACTCTAAATAATAATCAGGAAAAGCTGTCAACTATAAGCAACTATTCTAAACTAATGAACAACAAAGATTATGTTACAGTAGACACAAGTTTACAAAACAGGTATCAACAAGTTTATCATCGATCAAAATCTAATCATTATAAACAAATTGTTGAAGAGACACCGAATTCATCAAATAAATCACTTCTAGATGTAAGAGAACCAATCATATATTTAGATGGTATTTCAGTGCATCCTTCATTGATAAAACCAATCAACAGTAGATTAAGAAATGATTCCAATCATGAAGAGATTCCACGACAACTTAAAACGTATCTAAATATACTAGATAATAACAAAAAATCTGTGAATCGAATGAATTCACTGCGTCATTCAACAATCCGAATGCGAAGTATATCACCGCAAAGAAAAGTAGATAAGAGTATGTCAAAATTTTCATATAGTAATCCTTACAAAACTCAATTAAGTCAACACAATAACACTTTGACAAACCGAATCAATTCAGCAGATAATCGTAACGCCAAGGTTACAAATCAAATCTATGAACCAATGACAAATGAAACAGCAACAAGAATACAAATATCTTTTAACGCTAATGAATTTAGACGTTGTTCACTTCATTCGTCAATAAACTCGATGAGATGGAAGTCACGACTATTTAATGTTAGTAAGATGGATGAAAAGTTGAAAAGTCGTTACAGTCTGACAGAAGATTATCTAAACCATTGTGAAATCAATGACTTCTTAGCCAGAGTTAGTCAAAACAAAAGTAGTCCTAGTTATCATTGTGAATTAATGAATACTGTCAACGATTCATTAGAATATAATAGCACCTATTTACCTAATATAAAGCGTACTAAAGCTAAAATGGCATCATAATGTTCATATGATAGTAATCTAAGGAATGAAGTTACGCACTCTAGGCCGACGGATTCCAGTTATCTTTCAAAGTGTAGTTTATCCACAGAATTTCAATACCAGCAACAGAATGATGATGTCAGTGATGAGAGACAGGAAACCTTATCATTTTGTAATCAAGCTGACAAGCAACTTACTTCTCACCATTATAGCCATAACTATCAAGACAAAACTCATAAGAGCAACAGTTGTATAAAAACTATTTCAGACAGAACAAATAATTATTCTGAATCATTATACGGTAGATAGTTTGATGTGAATGATGATTATATTATTGAAATTGATCCAATGATATTCGATAGTTTTTCAAGGTCCTGAATGTGCATATATGCTATTCCATTGTTCGCTTAGTCTAACAACGCCAATTTCATAGCGTCAGTTAATCAACCATAACAAACAGTGACACTTATTGTTACTAGATCCCCCCACCCCTACCTCCACAGACACATATATCCACACACAAACTTTAAGAAGCATCGAAAGAGGTATTTAAGACAATTAATGTTAGAAATCATAGGCTTCATAGGATTCAACGCATTTTCTCAACACGTCTTTGACCGTTCTTAAATTTACCTGTCAACGGTGTTATAGGAAGTAGTTTAAGATGAAATTAGTTTTTCATTAATAATTTACCTGAATTTTAATTGTTTTATAGAAAGTGTTGACCTTGAGGTTTATATGAAACGTTAATTTCTTTGTTCTCTTTTCATCTGTTTCTTGTTTTATTTTCGATTAACAGTCGTATATGAATTAAATAACTACTGACTAGGCATAATAATAAATAAAGTTTCCGCTCATTTGTATTCAGCATAACTTTATATGGATTTGAAGTAGCTCGGGAAACTGGAATATGTGTTCTGCATGCTTAGCTACCATCTACTCCGCCGCACAGTATTAACTGTAGTTAGGTTCAAGTTAGAAGAATGTTATAGACAGTCGGACTAAGACGTGATATTAGTCCATGAAGTGAAATGTGTATCCGTGTGACACGCAAAATAGATGATTAAAGACTCTATGTGGTATGGTCTAGAATAGATCTCACACTTGTAGATACATCCATATATTGCCTTCATCTTAATTGTCACATCAAAGTTCATTAGTTGTTCTTACGATTTTCTATGACTATCGATTATTTTCTTCTTTATTCTTTCTTTTCTCATCTTCTTGCTTTCAGCCTTCATGTTCTGATATAAGATGTGGCTGCTTCTATCGTTGCTTGGTATTTTCTCGTCTCATACAGATAATCACTGACTGTAAAGGTCATGATATCTTTTTCATAATGCTAGTCATCTGTGCTAAATCAAACAATCAGAAATTAGATGAGTGTAGAATCTCACATTAAAGTGTACTGCTTTTTGTACTATTATAAAGTGTGGTAAGTTGGATTTATACACTTTCTTATGAGTAACTACATCGAACTTAACATAAATATTCTTCAGTATCAGTTCACATTGCCAGTCTTAGCAATAGTACAAAAAGAGGAACTCAACAAAAATGAAGGGTAATAAAGTCAGTGAAAAGCAAATGAACGTAAAAGGAATTATTAACAATAGAGTGATAAGTTGCTTGGTACTTGTAATCTCCTGTTGTTATACTGGGTTGGGCATTTCATTACACAAGAGCTGCCTCTGGTGACCCAGTGACCTGTTGGATAACGCCTTAGCATTTGAAGCGATTGATACTGGGTTCTAGTCTCATAAAGGAACAACATTACTCACTGGGGTGCAGGTATATCCAGTCGACAAGTCCTAAATAGGACGAAATGCGCCACCTGGACTCCACTGCTGGTCACCAAGCAGTTTACAACATAAAGAATAATAAATTTTCCATTGTTTTGCGGGAAAAAGGAACGATAAATGAGAACGCACCAGTCTGATCAACTCATTTCATATAGGTTCTATCCTCAACAACGCCTGTTATCTTCTGAACCTATCAGATCGTTATTAACTTTCTCATATTTGAGAAAAATAGTTTCTTAACTAGTAGTATGTTTCTGTGTGGTCAGCATTAACCTTTTTCAACGCAGTTCTAATCCAGATACCATTGCGCTTCGGAAAAACGTTGGTGGTTTGGACTACTTAGCATACATTCCAAAACTTCAAAAGTTTGGAAACTGATCTGTTATTTTCTTCTAAGATATCGCCCGGAAAATCAGAACTGCTCACAAAATAGTTTTTTTTAAAATCAACAAATGTTCAAAATTTTGACAATAATCCATTTCCGAATTCTGATAGTTAGAGTTTCATCGGTAATTTTTAGAAGTAGATTGATTTCGAGATGGTTTTCATCAACAAGTGACATTAGTTGGAAAGGTTTTAAAAACTTGGAAGCATCGGACAGCTATTCCGTGCTAGTTCGGAACTCTTCAGCAGTGTAAACCTAGGAGTGTGTAAGAGATGGTACTCAGGGCTGTCAAATCTCATTGTAAACAGGTTACCACTCAGTCACGTGGTTAAAATCCCGCACCTATAGCATGACCATCCTCGTATGTCGTCGGTGGGCATCTGTTCTCACTGCTGACTCGGTTAACTTCAGAATGCACAATGTTTTGTCAGAAGTTCGAGAAGTTTATTTCTGAGCTAATTGCTAATGAACAGTAAGTATTAGTTAAATCTTTGGCTTGTACAGACTGTTCTAAAATGGAAACAAATCAATTATATAGAAATTTTATAAAGATTACCTCTGGGGAGACCCATACGAGGGCAAAACAGCTGTCCAGTGCTCTCAGGTTTTCAGTGGTTCTCCAACTAATGTCAGTCCGTGATAGATAAACCTTAAAATCCCATATCTATTTGATTATCATAGCTAAATCTGGATCTTGTTACATCGTATAAATAAGGGCAGATCCAACGATGAAAAACTGATTGAAACGAAATAGGTTTCTGTCGTCTTTTTTTATCTAGACGACGTATTTCTCCACGGGAAGTAAATTTAGGATTATAGGTAGATACTGAAAACATTTTCACAAAAATGCATTTTTAATTCAAGAGAGAATACAAGTCGAATCAGACTCATAGGAATACTCCATTTTCGTAGATCATGAGAATGAAGAATTGAAGGCAGGCCAGTCAATAAAGATGAGAAGGTTCAAGAACAGGGAGATGAGATCATATTTAGGATATGCCTACTCATCACATCTCTAAACCTCATAGCAGTTAAGACAAATATGGTGATGGTTCATGAATTGTTTAACTCTTGATCTCATAGGTTAGAGTAGGACTACTGGATTGAATCTATATGGAAATTAAAATCGATTTCAGGTGATACGGTTCAAAATCGGTCGCAGTGGTGTAGACGCATTCCACACTCCATCTTCATTGAAATGCAAGTGACAACATCCTAATATAAAAAAGTGACACACACTGAAGTGACTTACAGAACAGTACGAAATACGAGAGCGCTATTCACTCAGTGAGACACTTAGATTGCACAGAAATAACAACTTTTCTCCCACAAAAATCAGAGGACAAAAACTGGCCTTTGACTGTAAGGAAGACATTTTATTTAACAAAAACACATTGATATACAGTTTTCCCCAGCATATAAAGTCACTAGGTCAGAAGTTGGATACTCATTTTGATTGGTCAGCTGTAAGATAAAATTGTTCAATAGGGTTTTTCCTGCCCACACAATTACATGAAATCAGGACCAAAATAGAAAATTCCTACCTCAGCGGTTGATAACTTGAAATGCTGATATCGACTTAGGCCGCTTCCTATCACTCATGATCTTTAGTAATCTAACTTAACAATATGGATGTTATTTTTGAATACTATAAAGACAACCTCCGATTACGATATTTTTGTAAGGAAAGGCAACCAAACTTATAATGACATTCGAAAGTTAAGACAAACAAGACTTAGAGATAAACAAGCTAGGAAGCTGATCATAAAAGTATGATGTAAACATGATCCTCGTTTGCTAACAAAATGTTTTAGTGCAAAACAGTGGACAAAAGTGTGCAACTTCATTTTGAAAGTGGGAAACAATAAACAATTGCAAAAAATGGTCATAGGTATCCATTAAAAATCACTGTAAGTTTGACTGTTATTCATATAGTTATAATCAATATAATTCATCATGCCATACGCGCATAAAATAAACTCGAGAGAAATTATCGAAAATTAATTCCTTTTCAATGCAATCACTTTTTCCAGAAATTATTGTTCATTAAGAATAAATGAAAATTTTATCAGAATTTAAGTTTTCAAGAAGAAAAGCTCATTTTTAGAAATACATTACTTTTTGAGTTCCATCTGTTGGAGGCATAACTGAAGTAAAGATTAACTAAGACTGTCAGAAGATGTGCTGCATACGCCAAGTTATCACCTACATCAGCGTAGTATGTTGTTAGAAGCAAGATCAAGTTAGAAGAAAACCTAATTTCGCTATACTAATATGTAACACCATTCCAAGATGTCTCTGACTATGGTTCTGAGACATATGTGGCTGGTGTCCTCGAGATGATGGAATTCTTGGTTGCAGATACTTGGTGATATGACTAATGGCCTAGATGTATATGCTCTGTTCCACCTAAAAGGTCATAAAGCTTTTTCATCAACTTGTATCATTTTATTCCCCCTAACCTTATACTCTTTTTTTACTTGGTTATCGTTCTCTTGCTATCTTTCTTGTCTTTAGTTTTTGCTCCAAAGTTTAGTCACTTGCTCTTCTGTAAAAGGTTCTGCATCGATTCCATATTACATTATTTCCGTGATACACCCAGAACACAGTGACAGTATAATTTACTGGATGACGTTTCGAGCGCAACTTATTGCTCATATTCGTATCAGACCAATCATACGACTTTCATACTTTCTTTATAAAGTCCAACAGTTCATTAATTTATTTTAATACTCTAGAAGATTAGGATTTCGCCCATGATGGTTTAAATCTAATGTCTTGTCGCATAAACTCAAAGATCTACAGGCGAAAACCAACAAGTTGGCAGAAGAGGCGAAGAAGACAGAGTTGATGAAGATACACAACCAACAACAACAAGTACTAATCACCATGAACGGCAGAAACCTAATAGAAGTTTTCTCTTCCACCCACCCACCCACCTACCTACCTACCTAAGCAGCATCGTCTCAACTACATGCGCGGCACAGATGAAGATGTCAAAGCCAGGATTGGTAGGACAGCAAGACATGCCTTCATTAATCTGAAATGATCAGTGTGGAGATCCAATGAACTGCACTGCACGGCACTTCACTCCACTCAGCATAAACCATGAACAACATCCGAATTTACAGCACTAACATCAGTCAAGTAAGTCAGTGCTTCTATCTGATGGTTGAGAGACTTGGCGGCGCGTTACCAAAAGTATTTGCAACAAACTACAGACATACATCACCAGCAGCTGCTGCCTACGTTCACTCGATATTGAAGACCAGATAGATGGCGAGAAAGAATAAGCAAGGAGGAACTCTGGCTGGCTGACTGGCTGGCTGGCTTGTTGGCTGACTGACTGACTGACTGACTGACTGACTGACTGACAACGAACCAACCAAGAACATATTGCTCGCTCAACAAATATGCAGTGGAAGGAAGTGGAGATGGATTGGATTGGATTGAATTGGATTGGACATGCACTGAGAAAGAAGACCGGTTGGGGACATCACACGTCAGGCCAGGCTGCCGAGTTGAACCCAAATGGTAAACGACGAGTTGGGTGTCTCCGAAGAGCGTGACATGGAGGAGATGGTGTGAGGAAGAAATGACAGTATGTGGGTATTTGTGGAGTCAGGTTGGAAAGACTGCCGAGAAGAGAGTGAAATGGTGACGTGCTACTGAAGCCCTATGTTCCACTAGAAACCCGAGGGACAAATAATAATAAATATAATGATGAAAGAGGTATGTGAAGGCATAACCTGCCTGTTTATATCGTCAGAAAAATCACGTATTTACCACTGAACAGTCTGAAGATAGAAGGAATAAATGATTGATGATTTTTGTTTACACAGGTGATAATGGATGTGATTAGTGAAGCTGATTCAGTTATTTGACTTCTTCCGTCACATTATTCATTCACTTTTAAAGCTGAATACTAGTTAACTTCAGTGGATATTTTCCAGTTTGTGGGTTTTGGGGGGACTGATTGATTTCAAGGTGATATTTATCCTAGACTGATGTCACTGACCTGTGGGATGCCACTGAATGATGGTCACCCTATATCGCGAATTATCATAAAATATAGGTCGTTGGATCGTGACCCAGTGATTGAATGGCTAACGGGCTTGCGACGAGACATGAGGATGCTGCTGTTGACCTTTGAGAGGTCGTGGGTGCACACTCCTGAGGAGTCACATACTCAGGCGAAACAGCACTCCCAGGTTTTCAGTGGTTCTCCAAGTGGTGCCATTCAGTGGTGAATACTACCTTGAACTGGTCTCCATATCGCACTTCACTAGTGGTTTAGTGTTCAGAATTAGAAAACACGGTAACAAGACTTAAGGCTTTATCTCCTGGCAATAAGATAAAAGGAAATTATTTATATCACTGAAAAACGGATACAGTTCATCATACCTATCAATAAATGAAGCGATGGGATAAAACGGTATAGATCGCTTCCCTGATGAAGGTAAAAAGTGTATTTATCGAGTGATGATCACAATGGAATGATACCGTATATACTACAGAACTAACAAGGGTAGCTGCAGACCACTCAAACTGATCAATAGTTCTCATCAAACATATCTTAAGTCACTCAGCTATGTACCTGAATTAAATCCCTTGAAACAATTAAATCTTTTAAACCACTGGAATTATCACTAGCTAACTAGGTAGATCGATGGCAAACAGAATGGAATTCGCTGTCTGAAAAATATGATTTGATAACCAAGTCACTTGAATCCATGGAATAAGTGTAACTGTTTAACCCCATAGTTCAGGCAGAGTTACAGCATAATATATACTACTGAAACATTACAAGAGTACAATTACTGCTCATTATTAAATAACTGATACAAAGATTTGTTTATAAATTAAATGATTGGCATGTATGTAGTTCATCGTTAGATAACTGAATCTGTCAGGAATAATGCGTTTTAAAATCTTTGTGTACGGATTAGGAATTTCGAAATGTTTAGTTACTTCAACAATAATCAGAATTCTTTAGAATCTTCATTGTCTTCAATAGATTTTATGTATTTGACAAAAATACAATCTTCTGTCTATTTTCTAGCTTACATAGGTCCGCCATATCCAGGATTAGAACGTCCTACACTGTTTGATATATTCATATTCCCTGGAGCTGTTTGATATGATGATGGTAAGTCCATTGGTCTTGGAGCAAATGCGCCAAATGCACCACCCATATTTGGTGGTATCATTCCATATCTTGCATATATAGGATGTCTTGCAGCTACTGCAGCAGCGGCGGCTTGTTGTTGTTGTTCAGCTTCTGCAGCAGCTGTAGCCGCAGCTTCTTTTGCTGTCTTTTCAGCTAATTCTTGAGCAAGTGCTGCTTCTCTTTCACGTCGTTTACTACTACGTGATTTACAAAGCATCAATTTTTCATGATTAATTACACAGAATGCAATAATTATCCCAATAGTCAATAATAAGACAACTATCAGTAAACAAGCGGATAAAACAGATGGTGGTACATTTAATTCATCACCTATGCTGGTATTACTTTTTCTTCGTTTTTGTTGTGGCTTTTTCTTTGTTAATCGACGAAATGGACAACGTTCTAAAGCTTGATCTGAACTAACCTTATCTGATGTAGTTGGTAGACCCTATTGAGAAATAAAAGGAGAGATTGAAAAGAATTATTGTGAATAGAAATAAAGTTCTATCAGATTCTGACTTAATCTGTAAAAAGGCCTAAATTTGATATTAGTGGTGCATAGTAGCTAGAAGTGGAATCCAAGACGTGCATTTTGTTCTGTTTGATACTCGTCAGCTGGATGCATCTGTCTTTCAGTGGATGATTTTGCCTCCAGTACGACTCGAACCTGGAACCAATCGCTTTCAATGCCTAAAAGTTATCCACTAGGCCACTGAGTAGGATTAGTCAATGTAGAAAGAAAGTCAACAGGGAGTAGTGAGAATATTTATTTCTGCTCCAGTTGACAATAACAATGAGTGTTTCTGTTGAAAATGATGTCTTATAAAGTGACAGATCATTAAGCAGGCAACCACTGGTTAATACGCCTTTATAATTCATGTTATTTGTTAATTCAGTTATCGAATTTTTATACCAAACAAAGTTAACCCTTAATGAGTGGGATAAAACTTGAGAAACAATTAGTTGGTGATGTTTCAGTTTGGCAGATAGCTTTTAAACTTTAGTTAGGTAGTTTCGAGTTTAGGCTCATTCCAACTGCTTTATTCTGAATTACCCGATCTTAATAAATCAATTAACATGTGATTATTATTAGTCCCTTGGGTTCCTAGTGGAACATAGGGCTTCAGTAGCACGTCTCCATTTCATCCTGTTCTCTGAGATCTTTTGAACCTGGTTCCACGACAGCCCAGAAGCTCTCATTTCCTCCTCGCACGATCTCCTCCATGACACCCTCGGACGTCCAACTCGTCGATTCCCATAGGGATTCCACTCCAGCGACTGGCCTGACGCGTAATGTCCTCAGTCGGCCTTCTCAGTGCATGCCCAATCCATCTCCACTTCCTTCCACTGCATATTTGTTGACCGATAGGTTCTTGCTTCGTTGGTTCGTTCCCAGAGCTCCTTGTTGCTTATTCTTATTATTCTGGCCATCTGATCTTCAGTAACGAGTCAGCGTGGGCAGTTGTTGATGTATGATGTCTGTAGTTTATTGGAAATCCCTTTCCTAACGCGCCAAGTCTCTGAACCATACAGAAGAACTGACTTGACGTTGGTGTTGAAAATCCGGATCTTGTTCCGCATGCTGAGTGCAGAAGATGTTCACACTGGTTTCAGGCTAATGAAGGCCTGTCTTGCTTTTCCGATTCTGACTTTGACATCCTCGTCTGTCCCGCCTGTAGTTGACCAAGCACTTCAATGTGATACCTTCTCATCTCTTTTGCAATCTGGGCTGCCTTGCTGGGTTCAAACATCGTGCGGACATTCCATGTCCCCATGTTTACTTTCGCTTTCATCGAGAGAAGACACATCGGCCAATTGGCTTCCCTAAGGCTTTCACCAACTGGCGTCATTTCGTCTCTCCGATTCCAGCGAGGAATAAGTTTGTTTTCATTTTTTATATTTTGTTTGTGCTTTGAAGTTTCTTTAGCGGTTAGATTTGTTTTACGGGGTAGGGTTGCTAGCCCTATGCCCAACCTTCCCTCTTTACCCGGGCTTAGGACCGGCTAGTAACTAGTGAACTAGTTAATCTTGTTATCGAACTTAAATATCCGATATCAGACAAAAACAAAGCGTCAGTGTCATTGGTTATATCATTTTAATTATGACCTAACTGGTAAGACTATTGTGTAGCTCGGTTTAAAAGCCTTGAATTGACCTCTCACCCGTTTCTATATGGCTTATATTTCGGAGATAAGTACATGTCAAGTGAAGCCCATTGCTATCCACTATCCAATGTACTGTGCTTCAAATCAAGTATTTCATTTTTATCTTGAGGTTTGTGGAGGTTTCGTAATTTATTTTAGGTTGGAATTCATCATGGACTGACATCAGTTGGAAACCTGCCAGCAGTGGACAGCTGTTCCGTCCTAGTATGTGACTCCTCAGCAGAATGAACACATGACCCCACCAGGGATCAAACCCAGGACCATGAAGTTCCGTGGCCAGCACGTTACCATTGAGCCACTTTTTTATAAGCTTTTTTTATTTATAAATTATGATGTTTCATGATAAAGTAATTCAGTTACGTATCCCCATGAATCCGGTAGCCTGATATACTGGGACAATAAACACCAGACTTTGTGTTCTGTTGTAAACGATTAGGAGGATAGATTAACGTGACGCCTTCAAAACAAATCACGTTCAAGCTCAGCATCAATATTAAATACGCCGAATCATGTGTATAAGTAGGGTGAGGCTAAAAGTTATCCCAAGGTGTTGTTGTGCTTGTTATGGGATATAGCATTCTGTGCGCCATTTCATATATTTTCTGTAAGTTGTATGCATATTTCACCTATTTGTATAGTACCTAAAATGTCATGTGTTACTGAATCATGTTTCATGCAGTTTATTCATATGTAAAGTATTAGTTACACTTCCCATTCTTAGATGGGATGTGAGTACACTTATTTATGAAGATTGGTTCTAGCAAATCAAATCAAATTAATTGAGCCTTCAAATTTCAATAAAAAGGATCTATGATTTCAGTTTATACTTCTAAATATATACTTACAAAACTAATAAAATACGTATTTTCGCATATAACACTATAAACTTTGGGGGATAACTTTTAGCCTCATCCAATTCCTGTTATGGTTTGATATGCTTTCAGCTTATAAAATTCTTCGCTTTATCGTTGACTGGAATTCATGTAATTGATAAATCTGTCAGTTTATTTTCAGATCACTACTGGATAAATTTCCAAAGCTTTTAATCTACTAAAGTCAAAATGAATAGTATTTTAGCTTCCTATCTGTTAATCATGAATTCGTACATATTCAAATGGTCTAACTACAACATAATATCAGTTACCTACAAACAAATAACAAAGAGAGTTGAGCGGGAAAGTCAAATGATAAATTTTTCAATAAAATAATTACCGTTTTCTAATGGTAAGTGAAATAATGATAAAATAAGAAGTCAGATTAGAATTTGTAAACATGATTTCGTACCAGTACAGTCAAAAAAAAACTGTTTTTGATAAAAGTTTATTCTAGGAATAAATTCAAAAATAACCAGACTAAGTATACACATTATCTAAGGACGGGATGAAAGCTGTTGAAACGAAAACCTCGATGGCAATAGAATTCAAACCTAGCGGTTGCTGGTTCAAATTTCAATGGGATATTTATTCATTTCATCTCAAGTCACCACCATCCCATTACAAACATGAATCAAGATTAGTTTATCAAACTAAGACTATTTCAGGTGGTTTCACTTTTAAAATATGATTTTCCAAGTCCGGTGACTTTTTCTGTGGTATCTTCTAAACAATTATCATTATTTATTTATTATTTGTCCCTTGGGTTCCTAGTGGAACATAGGGCTTCAGTAGCACATCTCCATTCCACTCTGTACTCTGCAATATTTCGAACCCGGTACCACGACTGCCCACAAGCTCTCATTTCTTTCTCAGACCATCTCCTCAATGTCATCCTCGCCTAAGATGCCCAACTGACCGTTTCCCATCTGGGTTCATCTCAAGGACTGGCCTGAAGCGTGATGTCCCCAAATAGTCTTCTCAGTGCATGCCCAATCCATCTCCACTTCCTTCCACTGCATATTTGTTGAGCGATAGGTTCTTGCTTCGTTGGTTCGTTGCCAGCCAACCAGAGTTCCTTGTTGCTTATTCATATTATTCTGGCCATCTGATTTTCAGTAACGAGTCAGCGTAGGCAGTTGTTGATGTATGATGTCTGTAGTTTGTTGGAAATACTTTTCGTAACGCGTCGCCAAGTCTCTCGACCATCACATAGAAGCACTGACTTACTTGACATTGGTGTTGCAAATCCGGATCTTGTTGTTTATGGTGTGTGCAGTAGATCTCCACACTGGTTTCAGGTTAATGAACACCTATCTTGCGCCTCTGATCCTGGTTTTGACGTCCTCGTCTGTGCCACCAGCTGTAGTTGAAACGATGTTGCCTTGCTTAGGTGGGTGAAAGAGGCTACTTTCTGTAAGTTTCTCCCGTTGATGGTGATGTTGGTTGGAATCTTCTAAACACTGATAAGTGGATATTGCAATTTCATTGTTCGTTCATGTGTTTACCATCTAATAACATGACGCATTCCCAGTTTCACTAGATTAAATGCTAATTGACTGAGGATAATTACTAGGTTTGAGCAACCCATTTCAACGTTTACAACCTAGTGGTGTTTAGATAGATAGATAAACAAGCACTTTAGAACTTATCACCTCCAGTATTATGACATTATCTGAGAGAATTTCTAGTCCATATCATCAATCTTTTGACTGAAATGATTAATCATACGTTGTGATTAACGATAGTGTTCAACGATTAGTCATGACGAATTGGTTGCTGACGAAATATCATGAGTCTTTTCTGGGGTTTTCTGTGATTGAGGCATGAAAAGACATGGAAGAATCACAAGTATTTGATAATAGTTATCTTTGAAGCACTGCTGATTTTCTGTGAAATTAGAGAATAGATAAACTTGTGACTGGAATATGCTATATATACTATGAAGCACCGTGTCGTTTAATACACAGTGTTACGTTAAGTAGAATCAGGCTGGAAAAAAGATAAGAATGATTAAACTGGGTCATGTTGCCAAGTAGTAAAGTCAGTAACTGATGTGTGTCTTTTAGGACAGTGTAAGTAGTGTTTCGGGGTCCTAAAATAGGTAGGAAATCGATGGCTAAAGACTACCTGTGACACGACTCGAAATCGATTACAGTAATGCAAATGGATTAATTGTTCTTCCTCAATATATTATTAACCTTAATTATTACCTCTGCTATCATATCACTGCCACTGATCCATTCTTCTCATGTCGAATCTCTCCTTGTGCTCCAGAATCAATATATTTACACTTTCACCTATCTCCGTATGCTAACACAATCAGAAGAGAGACGTTGTGGTTTTTGATTGGAGAACCACTAAAATTCTTGCATCGCTGAAAAGCTGTTTCCTTTTATTTTGGGGCTCCTCATCAGTACACAGCAGTAAACCTGCGAAGGATCAAGCCCAGGGCTGTTAAGTCTTGTGGTAATCACGTTAGTACTCAACCAATGGGTTGAAATTCAGTTGTCCACTTTTTCCTACTCTTGCCAATTCACGATCATCATCCAGCGCCATCAGCGCGTATCTGTCCTCCAAACCTGTTGATCAACGCCGCTTGGCACAAAACTTCTCAATTGAACTTCCGGAAATTCATCTGGAAGCATGTTATGAATGAGGACTGGGAATAATTCGATTGGTGGTTTGTCGGGATCTAGCTGTTTCAAGGTAGTTATTACGATGAACTGATATTGGTTGGATAAACAATGAATACCTGATAGTATTGAACAGAAATCATAAAATCAAAGTTTTTGTCATTAGATCTACTTACACCAGGTGAAAATTGACAATCTGCGTTCGGTGTTATATTAGCTGGTCTATGTTGAACAATGAATGGACAAGCTTGAATTTCTTCATCACTTTGAAACTCAGTTGTATGATGACTGTCTAATGCTTTCGGTGGAAGACGTTCTCTTTTCAGTGATGTAGACGTACGAAATACAACTTGAGTTAATTTATTACTTGCAAAACGTTCTGTATCTTCAAATGGAAAGGAATTATTTGTTAAACTTGATCCGTCAATACAAATATATTGTGTTGGCTGAAAGAAAAGAAATACATAATAAAATAGATAACTTTGTAGTTATTTTTATGACTTTGGTTTTGAAGACGCCAGTTTCCACTTTGGTAGTAATAAATATGAAATGCCTATCGTTTAAATATACTATGAGTTCTGATTTCGGGTCTTAATGGCGACAAAAGCATTTGAAGAGAGGTACCTTCACCTTATGAGCTCCAAACAGAATTGTTTTTCTTGGTTGTATTGTATTCTCTGAGCTGGGTTATTTAATCGTGAGGCTTTCATCGTCTTTCTACACGACAGCATCAGCACTAACTTCATTATGGAGTTAGTGCTGATGATGTCGTCTAATTTCATTTTCAACCACACAATCATTATTGTGATGTCATATCTAGAATCGGTATCCCAATATCCATGCTTCAAACACTTTTAGTGTGTTTTATTCCAGTGCGGCAACTTAATTACCTTCTGTATTCTCTAGGAAGCTGTGCAGTTTTCAGCATTGAAGCATAGTAACCTTCATTCGTCTTAGTCAATAATCCCCTTTCTCCTGTATGCCACTGAGTAGAAACCAGTCAGACAAGACTGACAGTGCATCGATTCATGTTACCACACTTGGCAGAAGTATACAAATAATAAATGGATAGGAAAAACTGATATCTAAACGAACAAAGGTGTATGAGAAGAAAGGGGATTTAAAAACGAAGGTTAGTTAAAACATTCAAACTTTCGAATGCATCAAAGAGTGAGTACATCTACAACATTGTAACCAGTTTTCTGCCGTGTCATCGACAGTCCTCAACCGCTGATTACCTTTTTCTCTGGCACCTCATTCAGAGCATCTGCAACTTCCTATACGACTCAGGCTACCAGTCAGGGATTTCACAGACTGGTGCCACGTTCTAGTCTAGCCACCTTGAACCTATTTTCCATTTTTAGTTCAACTTTTTCCAGCATTGCACGTCAAGGTAAGTAGTGGCTTGGCGTGCAGTGAGATATTGTCCATTGGCCATAGTCTACAAAGTTTGTACGGGTGGAGAGGAGGATTGCTTTTGCGGGGACCACATAAGTTAAATACAGTTCCTGTCAAAGGATATGACCAACTGAAAACGCATCTAAACCAAACGGCACAGAACAGTTGTTTTCGCTTACCTTGGGACCCCTGAGTAGTATGCCGAGTCACTACCTCATTGTAGATCAAGTAAAGGACCACTTGCTATTCGGTGCTCCCAGTTTTCTTAGTAGTTATCCAGTTGATGCCAGTCCTTGATACAAAAATATGATATTAGTAACTATCTAGTAACGAAATGTTATACCAGCACTAAAATACTTCAACAGAAATGCCAGCAACAGTATTACTCAGTGAACTGAGTTCATAATTGTCGAAATTTCTTCACTGAAAAACGGAATGAAACACAAAATCTACGACTAGCCTGGCTTTCCGACTACTGTTCCTAAGCATCCAATATCAGTTAGCTTGCACACTGGTCATACTGTAGACTTTGTTAACAGCCTTTGATCATCAACAATAGCTTGATAAATAAATTGGTTGCAATCCGGTGACGTATTCATATGCAAAAGGAAGTCTGACAGAGGGTCAGTGGTAAGGTCAGTGGCTTCATCACTGAGTGACACAGGATACAATCTCCAATCGAAACACATCAGTAGGTTCTTGGCACATATCAATTCAGTAGTGAATGCAATCCAATTTACTTGTAACTTAGAAAGTGATGAAGGTGAGCTAACAATGTTCGATTGCAAGATTAAACGAACATAAGACGTGAGTTTAGAGATAAGTATCTATAGGAAACCTTCCTATTCTAGTCGCTACTTAGACATCAAATCATCTCATCCCATCTCAGTTAAAGTAGGTTTAGTTAAGTGCCTAGGTGATAGGGCGTAAAAACTTATTGGTAGACCAGAAAATCTACGACAAGAAATTAGACTTATCAAGAATACCTTGCGTCTCAATAATTACCCACCAAAAGTTTTAAAAAAAATTCATGAGAAGTCGAAAGAAAAATGTTAGCAGTAGTAGTAATAGTAAAACATGTGTTAATAATAATAATAATTCCACAACTAATAATATTAATGGTGATAAGATTGAGAGAGAATTCAAGGTCTCTGCTGTGTTACCATACAAGAAAGACACCTCAATAAACTATGTCTAAAACTTTATCGAGTAAATGATACTGTTCATTCACTGTGGAATTTCTAATAGATAGACTAAAATGGAATTACAATCTACCACAGTATCCAAGTTTTACTCGTCTATTAGTCATTAACTGTAAAGCGTAAATTAATCTATCAACTGATTGGAGATACATACATCTGTCAAGAAATATAGTTGATAACTGTGTTCAGTCACTTAGATGAGTAACCATAGTAGAACATCTGGACAATAAAATTCGGTGAGCAATAAAGAAACAGAGACTTATTACTAAGCTTTTTAACATTATTTATAAACTATAGTCATGATAAGTGAAAATTTGTTGTAGCTGGCAAAAATCACAATAAAAAATATGTTATGAAATAAACAATTACATTTAAATATAATAATCTACATTATTTTACCTGCATTATACGTTGATGATAACGAAATAGAAATGGTGGTATCGTTCTCATTCGAAATCCTAACTCTAAGCCTAATAGTTCACTTCCATTTTTAATCCAAGCTAAAAAATCAGCATCTACACAATCAACTGTTGGTAAAGGGGTCTCTTGAAATCTTGGTTCATAAATAAATAAATAGAATTGATTTTATGACCAATCATAACACAATCTAAATAACTGACAATATCTGATGGTGATGGAAGTTGATCCCAATGATCACATGACATATACAAAACATCATGAGTAATTGGATCAGTTGATGTTGTATTCATCTGTTCTTGAGTTTCATTTAAATCCATTCCTCCTGTTACATTATTCACAGAGGTTAAATCCATTTCAGTTAAAGTTGTTGACATTGGTGGTGATGTTGTTGTTGTTGTCGTCACAGTGCTGGATGGTGGCTGTGTTGTTTTGCCTACATTTGATGATCGAGTCTTTTTTGTTTCTATTGTTGGTATCCGTACAATGAAACAGCCTACATTTGGACAGAATTGACATATTGGCTCATTAGCATCCGGAATGTAAGGTAGTTCAAATGTTCTATCAGTTTTATACAGACCTCCACTTATGTTAACTTTTGCTGGCCAATAACCACTTGGGCATAACATATTAGGCGGAGAATAATCTTCATCACTGCGTACAAAATGATTAGTATAAATTATTATTCCAAATATAATGAAATAAACAGACATTTTGTTCAATATTATTAGTAATATTCGAAATTCTGTGAATTAATTCAACTTTTATGACAAATCACTATTTAACACTACTTTCAGCTTCTTTCATTTTCAATGAACCAATCAAAATAACAAAAAGTTAACCTTGATCCAATCCTAATCGATCAATCGATAACACCTTTCTTTAAATGAGAGGAAAATAAAATGAACACCAATTTGTGTTTATGATGAAAGGGATGAGATTCTAGAATGTACAGCTTCTTCATTGCTTTTATTGGCTGTTAAACGGATAACATGGATTGGTTGTAAACAGGAAAAGATAACGATCATCTGAATATAAAGATAGTGTAGTTGGTGCTACTGATAGGAATGGATACAAATAGTATTATGTTGACAGGTTGACAGAAGTCATAGGCAATTACCAGTGTTGGGTAAATATTCTGTCCACAGAAACGCAAGAGACAATGTAGGCGTATAAAGAGCAAATTGATATAGGAGAAGAAGAGAAAATGAAACAAAGTGCAAACGACTTTTTCAATACAAAGTATGCAATATTTCATCAGTACTGTACAAAATCTCATAATAAACATTCTGTCCTGCGTCTCAGTGTTTTTTATTTTTACAACACCATCCTTACTTCTATCTAATGTGAACTGAATGATTCGCTAGCATCCTCCTGGAAGATATCAGATATTTCTGTCTTCAACAAATTGGCGAATTATATTACTACTATCATTTGTCCCTTGGGTTTCTAGTGGAACATAGGGCTTCAGTAGCACGTCACCATTTCACTCTCTTCGCTGCAGTCTTTCCAACCTGACTCCACAAATACCCATCAACTGTCATTTCTTCCTCACACCATCTCCTCCATGTCACGCTCTTCTGAGACACCCAACTCGTCGTTTACCATTTGGGTTCCACTTGGCAGCCTGGCCTGACGTGTGATGTCCCCAACCGGTCTTCTTTCTCAGTGCATGTCCAATCCAATTCAATCCAATCCAATCCATCTCCACTTCCTTCCACTGCATATTTGTTGAGCGAGCAATATGTTCTTGGTTGGTTCGTTGTCAGTCAGTCAGTCAGTCAGTCAGTCAGTCAGTCAGTCAGTCAGTCAGTCAGTCAGTCAGTCAGTCAGTCAGTCAGCCAACCAGCCAGCCAGCCAGTCAGCCAGCCAGAGTTCCTCCTTGCTTATTCTTTCTCGCCATCTATCTGGTCTTCAATATCGAGTGAACGTAGGCAGCAGCTGCTGGTGATGTATGTCTGTAGTTTGTTGCAAATACTTTTGGTAACGCGCCGCCAAGTCTCTCAACCATCAGATAGAAGCACTGACTTACTTGACTGATGTTAGTGCTGTAAATTCGGATGTTGTTCATGGTTTATGCTGAGTGGAGTGAAGTTCCATGTAGTGTAGTGTAGTGCAGTGCAGTGCATTGGATCTCCACACTGATCATTTCAGATTAATGAAGGCATGTCTTGCTGTTCTACCGATCCTGGCTTTGACATCTTCATCTGTGCCGCGCATGTAGTTGAGACGATGCTGCTTAGGTAGGTAGGTAGGTGGGTGGGTGGGTGGAAGAGAAAACTTCTATTAGGTTTCTGCCGTTCATGGTGATTAGTACTTGTTGTTGGTTGTGTATCTCCATCACCTCTATCTTCTCTATGTTCACTTGAAGTCCCATCTTCGCTGCCTTGCCTATCCTGTCAACTTGTTAGTTTTCGCCTTCGAGTTTGTGCGACAAGATATTAGACATAAGTCATCATCGGCGAAATCCAAATTTCCTAGATTCTGTCCAGCTAGCGTATACCCATCTTCTCACTCCTCACTGTTTGCTGCATGATCCACTCCATCCCAACCTGCAAGATGATCGGTGATAGTAGGTAGCCTTGTCTTACTTCTGTCCCCTGTCTTCACTTCAGAGGTGTCACTGAGATTTCCATTGTCAATCACTTGGTATGTGACAACATTTAGCGTGTAGCTGTTGAATGAGATTGATAAAGGTTTGTGGTATTCCATAGTGTTGAATCGGCTGCCAAAATACTTCTCAGTTGACGCTGTCGAAGGCCTTTTCAAAGTGGATGAAGTTGAGTTGAGATAGAGGGTTGACTGCCATTCTATACTCTGTTCTATGATGAAGCGTAGCGTATCGTAGCATTGCAATTTGATGCATACAGGAATTGTTCTTCTTGAATTCAGCCAGCGTGTTTCGGTCGTAGCTTGTAATCGAGTGCATGTTTTAGTCTCTCCAGGATGATGCGGGTTAATATTTTGTTTGTGGTGGACAAGTGTGGAGCATGATTCCTCTACAGTTCTTGTGAAGGCTTAATACTCCCTTCTTTGGAAGTTTGACAAGGTGTCCCTTCTTCCAACCAATCTGCAGGTACCTTTCCTTCCTCCCTTGCAAACCTTATGCAGTAGCGATTTGAGCATGTCCGCCGTTGTCTCTGCGTCTGTTTTCAGTGCTTCTGGTGGATTTCCATCTGGTCCCGCTGCTTTCCCGAAGTTCAGCAACTTTATGGTTTTAAGGATTTCACTTCTGCTCTTGTCGGAGGGCCTGTGTCCACTGTTAATTCTGTGGCTGGGCTGCAGGTAGTATTTCTGGACGAAGTGCAGGTGGTGGCCAACTCATGAGTTTTTTGAAATGGTCAGCTCATCACTTTCTTTGTTTCTGTTCTTTGATGGCAACTAGGTTTCTTTCATTATCTTACATTGGTTTCATTTGTGTTTATCTCTTCCTAGGCAGTAAGTAACCTGGTTATTTGACATAATGTTGTCAGGTCTTTCCTACCAGCTGGCAACCTGTTATGCTTCACTTGCAAGTGTGTCGTTGAAGTGTCTTTTGTCTTTGCACGCACTCTTCTTCATTTCTTTGTCCAGTGTAGTGTTTTATACATTGTACTCAGTTCCTCTTTTCGCTGTTCATCCTTGCACTGTACTGGTCCATCTTCTGTTTCACCATCTTCTTCTCCCCGCTCTACCAGTTTCCACGAGTTCGTCAAGTTCCATTCCTTGTCCTGTTTTTTCTTCCTTCCTAATACATTTATGCAGGTTTCCTCCCATGTCTCTTTCAAAAAGTTCCAGTGTTCTTCCACGCAGGTTTCTTCAGCGATGTTACTTAACATCTCCCGTTTTGTCCTGATGACTGCCTGACGTGAAGATGTCCTTTGACGATTCGTCCTTCAGTTTCTGTTCTGGGTGTTGAACTTGAACTGTGGTATCCCACCAGCCTTCAACTCTAATCTCGTGGAGGTTCCTTGCACTAGATGGTAATGTGAACCTATTTACATCTGCTCCCCTTCTTTATCTTGTGTCCAATAAGCTGCTTCTTTACGTTCTTCACATTGAGATGAAGTCAATCCGATTTTCAATGTAGTGTGCCCTGGTGTCTGGTGAAATCAGTGTCGCTTTGTAAATATTATTGTGTTTGTACACACTGCCTCCAATCACCAAATCGTTGAATGCGAAGAAATCTACAAACAGTTCTTCATTCTCATTCATCATTTCACCAATTGCCTCTCGACCCATGATCACTTCTCTTCCTGTGTTGTCCGCTCCCACTTTGGCATTCATCTCACTCCACCCATTAAAACTTGGATGTCGTCAACTGGGATGAGGTCTTGTCCATTGCTGATTGCAGTCGCCTATAGAATTCCTCCTTCTTTTCTTCATCTGCATTATTTGTAGGTGCATAGCCTAGCATTGTATGATTGTGACTTTCCTCCCTTTTGAGTTGAATCCATCTTGCTGTCATGATCCTACAGGAGGAGATTGGCTCCCACTACATGAGACCCTTCGATGCTGTTGGGGACATGATGATAGCCACTTCAAAACTCAATGTGCTCGTGGTTGTCATCTGGGTGACAATATCGGAGTAGATTATTGACTCTCCAGTTGACAATTTGAAGAGTCCACTTCCATTCCATCTGCTTTCGCATATTGCTAGCACTTCTATGCTATATCTCCTCATTTCTTTGGCAATGTTGGCAGCCTTCCTGGCTAGTTTCATACATGGTGCGGACATTCCATGTCTCCATGTTTACTTTTGCTTCCATCGAGAGAGAGGAAGAGAAGACACATCGGCCAATTGGTTTCTCGAAGGCTTTCACCAACTGGCGTCATTTCGCCTCTTCGATTCCAGCGAGGAATAAGTTTATTTTTATTTTTCATAGCTTTTAGGGCTTTCTAGTGTCTTTATCGATTGTATTGGTTTTCCGGGGTGAGGTTGCTAGGCCTATGCCCAACCTTTCCTCTTTTTCCGGACTTAGGACCGGCTAGTAACTAGTGTACTAGTTAACCAGGCGAGGTTAAATTGTCGAATACATACGTGTATTAACGTATCATCTGATTGATTTTCGATCATTGTTTTTGGCAAGTTAATGGCTACGGTTCTTAGCAATCACTAATGACATTTGGGCATTGTAAGGTAGTTAAAGTTGCTTTATAACAGTAATGAATAAATATAATCTTCTAAAACTTTTGTGTTTGTTATTAAGAAGGTCGATTGACTGTCTCTTGGAAGACCGTCAATATAATCATATCCAGGTACACAACTGACGCTCCCAACTCTGAATACACTAAACTGTTGTCCGAAGTCTATACTGGTGATATTTTTGTCACTACTGGATATCGCTAATCAATCTCAGTGGTACCCAACTCATGAATATTTCTTATATAGAATATTCCATAGTTAGTCCATCGTTCTTCCTTTCAATATGATGTTTAATATTAATTAGTGTTATTCAAGGGAATTGCGTGTTCACTATGAAATCAAGTTACGCCATACAGGTTTTAACTGAATAAACTGGTTAAGTAGAGAGAATATGTGCATGACATATACAAAGCAAACTTTTCTTTTCGGTATACGAATGAGACCAAAAGATCTATAGTATTGGCTTGGAAGAAACTTTAGTGTTTCATCACTGATAACAAGCGTTTTGGTTGACCAGTTAAGAGAACTTCCTGGTGTTAAAATGTACTGAGGAAAAATCTATCTTTTGACCTACAAGTCGAATCTTAA